GAATAAAAAAATCAACCATTAATCGCATGGTGATTGGATTCCTTATTGGGAAATTAAGAAAAAAACAACCATAACGGTCATATCATTATCATGTGTTTTATAAAATATGATTTAACAATATAATTTTTTTAAGAGAATTGTTATTAGCACTCCAAAAATCTCATTTGGCATTCTAAACTTTCCATAATTAGAAAGAAAATTACACTTATGAGGAGTGTAAAATGAGATTTTTGGAGTGCTAATAACAATTCCTTTTTTTAATATATTGAGAAAAACTATGGTACAATATTTATACATTCACCACTATATAGTGCTTAATTAAATACCTAATTAAATACTACAGCCACCTAAGAACCGATTGGCCAAACTACTTAAAAAAAATGTAATGCTAGAGAAACTATCTTTTTAAATTCTTTAATAATGAAGTTTTACTTTATTGTTACTTCATTTAATTTATAAAATATGATTTCTCTTAAAAATTAAAGAATCCATATCTACGTTTTAATGCTACCATGGACAACTACTACATTAGCATGAGATCAAATCTTCTGCATCCAAAATGATTTTTATGTTGACACTTAGTACTATGGTATAATGGTATTTGTAGTATAGTGGTATTTATAAGTGAGAGGTTTTAGGTTCGGTTCTTACCAAAGGCGAATTTGAATCACATTATTGTTAGTCCATTATGAAGCTTAGCCCCACTAACCCACCCCTTTAGTGTAGATAATATCATTTGTTAAAAAAAAATGATTTTTATGTTAGAGCGCGTTAATTCTAAAATGGATGCCTATATTACTTAAGCGTTGATTAGCATGCTTATTTTTTATTGGTGATGCATCTTTTGATTTGTAAATTTGATTTAAAATTTTGACCTCTCTAATATTACTTCTTGGTTTTTATCTACTTGCACACAAAAACACAACTACCCAAAAGTTTAAATTACAACTTAATTAATGCTTACATTTATTTGGTTTACCAACACAACAAGCCTACATTTATTTGGTTCGCAATATGGTTAGGAGTCCAAGTCTTTCTATTTGGATGGATGTTGGGACTAGGGATGGACAACAGTTATGACGGACGGATAATCGTTGTTATTTACCCATAACCGTTTATGCTCATACCCGCATAACCGTTTACCCGTTGGGTAATTGGTCAAACGGTTATACTCATACCCATAACCATTTATAAATAGTTAACCATACTCATAACCGCATACTTATTTAACCGTAACCGTTTAATAGCCGTTTACCCATTTACCCTTTTTAACCCATTTATCTTTTCTTTTTTTTACCATTACCCTTTTTTCACCATCCTACATGTTTTTTAACAACTTGAAAATTAAAAAAAACAAAATTGTCATAATTTTTTTTTTTTTACAATTAAACATTGTTATAGGTACATTCATCATACATTTCCATATTTTAATTTTTAAGTTCTTATACCATTCTAATATTTGAAATAATAGTTTACGAAATATATTTTTAACTTTTACCAATGAAGGTAAATATAATATTTGTTAAGTATTATTGAGTTACAAAAATTGTTTAGAAGATATTTCTGTTAAAACATTTCTATCAATTTCACGGTTACCCGCAAGGGATTTAAATAAATTTGGCGAATTCCTTGATGATGAGAATCATTATTCCTGTAGCAGTGTTATTGAAAGAATGACCGATGAATTTCTTGCTAATTTATTGGGTGCTAAATATTATTGGATCGAGAACATGGTTTATGTTAGTTTTACATATATAAAATAAATGGATAAACAGTTACCCATTTATAACCGCGATTAATACTCATAACCGTCCCTTTAAATCTAGCGGGTAAACGGTTATACCCATAACCGTTTATTTATCTAAACGGTTAAACGGTTACCATAACCGTTTAATTTAAATGGATAGGTAACCGCGATTACCCATAACCAATGGGTATTTGCTCATCCCTAGGTTGGACTCCCTCACTCATGGATGGATTGTACTTTCGACCATTTGCATCGCTTCCGATTAGAAACAAATCAAATGACTTATGAATTTGACTAAAATAATTACATATATTTTTTATCAAAAACAAAAAAATACATACATATATATATATATATATATATATATATATATATATATTCAATACAATTACCATGTTGACAGTCGGATTATATTAAATACATGTAAGTATTGTAACTAATCCTTTTAATTATTGGCAATTAAAATAATCAAACATTTGTCTTCAAAGTCAAATAAAATTACTGCTGGTAAGAAAACCATTTGTAACATACGCAATTTACAGCACTAAATCTAAGACCAATATGAACAGGCACATTTGCAAATTCCTTCGCGTTCCCTGATCAACTTAACATAATTTAGTACCTAGTTAAATATTCCCGTACTGAATAGCATATACCCAAAAAATACACGGTATTTGTGCTAAGTTTACATATCTTCCATGTTGTGATCGTTATCGTTGTCTCCTTCGTAATATTCGTCGTCGCGCTGAATGTGCTTGTCTTGAGTGTGCTCTGGGAGAATAATTCATAAAATTAAGAAGTGTCATTAGCCAAATGCAAATCAACATATTTTTAGTCCTAAGGAGTACAGTGCATCCATGCTGGTGCATAAGGATTCTGCTCATCTTCATCAAAGTCGGGAATATAGAAATCAGGTGGAACCTGCAGTAGGCAACACATTGATTCAAGTCAACTTATGCTATATACTTGGATATGGGTGTCTGTGCATGTGTTCAGTCCTACAACGATTGCATTGATTGACCTAAGTGTGTAAAAAGCATTTCGAGAAGTCTTATCAGTTACTAGCCGTTTCAAATATTAAGTCAATGCGGAAAATGTTTCGTTGAATCATGATAAATGGTATTAGAATCAGCCTATACCATCGTGCGGACTCAGGGACACTGCCTGCCATCTAAAAAAGTCTGATTTATGCATAGGATGTTAGAGATTTGACTATCGGCCCTAATGGAGACCTATTTGGTGTGAAAGTGCACACCGAGTCTCATACCGGTTGTGTTGGATCAATCTGGGTCATCTGGGAGACTCATTGGAATCACTTTTCTTTGAGTATCCTACTAATCTGTAGAGCACGTCTCAGGGCATGACAACTTATATCATGAATGCAATCTCAGTATGATATTCTGGCCATTTTCTAATTTAGAGATGGTAAAAACAATGACAAATCAATAGACCTAGCAGACCTCCCTGATTCGTGGATCTGTCACTCAAGCCTAGACAATCCTATTTATTTCGTTCTTCATGGTACTTGTAACGAGCGAACCACATTATATAAGAGCATAATTCTTTCAGTAAGTCAAGATTAATAATTTGCATGCAGTAAAGTAGGAGGAATAGTATAAAAGTCTAACATATTATGTTGCTATACTGTTAATCTAAACAAGACAAGGTGAATTCCTATTTATTTTATGTGTCAAATGCTAGATACCTGCATTGGCAGCTACTTGATTGCTTACCTCTTTTGCATCTGTACACTAGGAGCATGTTGGATGCAACCCAGATTTTCCAAGACTTGTATTTTAATTGTGCTAAGATACGATTTACTATTTAGGTTCTCCTGCATACCCAAAAGAAAGAAACAGATTTAGGCTTTTTAGAAGAATTACTGAAAATTGAAAAACTAGTAATGACGAATTTGAAGCATTTTAATTTCCACCTACTACAGACTACCAACATCAGTTGTGGCAATCGAATTGGTTAAAAAAAACAAAGTCCAACTTTCTGAATAATGTAAAGGCAAAATTCGATAAACTTTAATGCCATACTATATGGCCACTTGGAATCCTCAACAAGCAGTCTGGAGAAAAATACTTGATATACTCATTATCTGGGATCTCTGCAAATATTCATATTCAGAGTAAAACCATGCTGGAACGGACTCCCACATGCATAGAAAAGTAATCTGAACTAAAATGATTTAAGAACGCTCAAATGATAAGTGGGGTTGCAGACGCAACAATAACAGCCATGTATGCACCTTACACAAGACAATTAAAAATCTAACAATGGCAGCCAGGAAAAAAGAAATCAGAACCCAAGTCTGAAACCAACAAGAAGGTAGCAAAAATAAAGAGAAAGAAAAGTGCATGCAGGTCATTGCTAACCAGCAAGAAATGCACGCAGATATGAGAAACTTCCATGCCATGCCCATTGCTAATTACCCAAACTAATGCAACATATTAATCAAATACCTCCAACAATTAAACTACTAATTATAAGAATTTACTTGCGAGCAATCATGCATGCAGGCCACTGCGGGTTAGTGAGAAGATATGCTCACAGGAATCAGCATGGCATAGGTCATTCAACCCTCCAATGCCATGACAGTTAGAAAAGACAAGCCACATATAAAGCTGCATATCAACCCAACACAACTAAAATTATCACACATGATCTTAAATAAGAGAACTGAAATATAAAACATGGACACAACAAAAACTATCACTGAATCATAAAATGTATTGATTTATTCTAGCACAATCCTTATCAAAATCAAGATAAACACCGTGAATGCTGTCTCATTCTGAAAAAACCTTCTTGGAAGCAAATGAAAATAGATAGGAAAGAGGATAAACAAGTCTCAGCAATTCTCCATGGAGATGAATCTCAAGATATCATTACAGTTTCAAATTAGATATCAAAAGTTTTCTTAAATCTCAGAGTGAGGATTTTGTCAGTATTATGGGTATAAGAGTGCTTTCAAAAGTTATTTGGTATCCTTTCCAGGTGTGTATGAATACATCTACAGAAACATTAGAAATTTTACAAACTTAAAGAATGTAACTATAAAATAATCATCGTCAATTATGATACCTCCTTCCTGCAACCCCCAAAAAGGAGGGAAGAAAAAGATATATCATTCAAAGTCTATATAAAACACATTGACCGATAAGATCTTCGGCATTCCTTTATCAAACCAAGATCATATCAGCATGGTTATCCTCCCTGGACTGGACTTTTTTCTCCTTATTACCTCATTTTAATAAAGTTCCTGTTTCCACTACACAAAGTTTAAAATGAAGAGTTATTTGATAAAAGTACCATTGGGAAGTTCTGAATCAAGAAGAACCCCAGTTTCAACACTCCAACACCGAGCAACATTCTCTTTCGTGTATCCCCCACCTCCTGTAACCTTCAGACAGAAAACATTCTCCGTACACTAGATATACGACATTGATGAAAGGTGGCCAAGGTTCAATCGGTTAAAGAGCATACCAGTAAGGGTATATTAAATTTCTTCACAAACTTAACACATTCGGCATGGCCTGTATGAAGCAAATGTCACGACAGAGTAAACTTTACCATAACATATAAACAACCACCAAAAGCACCAGCTAGCTTGAGACCATTAATAATCAATCAAAGAAAAAACAAGGATGATGTGATTTAAAGACAATACAGAAGAGGAGAAAAAAGTGCTTCAATTACAATAAGATATGCACCATCAATGGAGAGATTGAAGCAGCCCAAACGGTCTCCAGCAAGAGAATCTGCTCCACACTGGAGAACTATCGCGCCTGGTAGATATGTCTCAACAACCTTAGAAATAATCTACAAAATTTAAATTTACAAGTAAGGTTTTACACTTAACAACATGAAGCCAAAACCAAAGGTAAGAATCTGGCTTTTAATTGAACCTACAGTGTTGAAAAGTCTACTGAAGCTAGCGTCATCAATTCCATCTTTTAGTGGGACATTGATGGCATAAAACTTGCCTTCTCTTTCTCCTACTTCCTGCAAAACGAATGATATTAATATATAAAATTCCAATTTCAACTTACTGAAGACTAGCAAAGGGACATACAACATTTCCAGGTTTTATAACATAAAAATTTCATGCCAGATTATCAAATAAATGAAGGCAAACCAAACAAAAACATTGTCCAAAGCAGCAAGCATGTCAACTAGTTATTATGCTTGTTCCTTGTGTGTGCAGAAATTCACATGCCTTTGTGTGTGCACAAATGTTTGTTCCTTGTGTGTGTGTATCTTTCAATTTCGTGCTTGCAGCCGATCACGTAAGTAATTCCCCGTGTTAACTAAGAAAGGAACACCGCAACAAATTAACTCATGCATTCTAATTGATTAACAAGAAGAAAATATATAGCTATATCGAATACAATTCCTAGTTAGTAAATGACATATAGGTAACCATAAAAAAGGAAAACATCAGAAACTGAGTAAGAAACTGTATAAATCATGGTGTATGCATTAGTTAGTTAACATCGGTAAAATCTAAATTGCTAGAATGATAGAATCACATATTTTCTGAACAGAGAACTAGTTAAGCTGTACAACAATTCAATAATTCATTACTAGACCAAATTTCGAAATACTATATCCATAAAATAGCATGTTAAAACTTTAATTCTATTCATCTATAAGTTTATTACATACATGAATGCAAAGTTATCTTCTCAAGCAACAATTCCAACTCTTATGATCAACACCCTTTTGAACACAACCAAATATTTAGCAAGTTAAAAATATTTACAAATAGCATCATCATTTTGCTTATAGCTAATTTTGCTAACAGTAAGGTAAGTTTCATTTATTTACATGTAATTCAATAATCCTATTCCTTAACCAAATTCATTATAAGAACAGCTATGTACCTATCAGTAAAATAGAAAGCTTCTTCTACACCATCACCGTGATGCACATCTATGTCAATATACAATACTCGGGCATGATGTTTTAGAAGCTCCAAGATCCCCAAGACCAAGTCATTGATGTAACAAAATCCGGATACCTCACACTTTTTGGCATGGTGTAGTCCACCAGCCCAATTGATAGCAATATCACAAAGTTTATTGTTCAACCTACGTGCAGCATCTGCAAGAAAAGTTCAATCAACGGATAGGGTAGAATAGTTGCAACCCACACTTCTGCCATCAGATAACTAGAATTACCTATTGTTCCGCTAGCATAAATTTGACAAAATTCAAATAAGTTATCAAATACAGGGCAATCTTCTCCAAGATTATCTGGCATAAAGATAAACAAAAAGAATCAGTAAACCACATGAGCACATTGGAAAGAGAGATTACAGGGACTGCAGTAAACCAAGTTAGAGGTTTGAACTACTCATGCAGAAAGCTAAAGAGTGGTACTCAAAGAGAAGAGTAAGTGAAATTTTATGTTCTTTTTGGTTCGTCCTCAATAACAGAAAAAAACTAAGAAAACTCTGACAACCATTTTGCAATAGCGACTCCAAGAATCTAATTGTGGCAGTCAATGCTAACAAATAAAATTTCTTCAAATTAAACTGATTAACATTGACCATTAATTAACACCACACAAAACTTTTTTTTTTAATATTCTGGTTCACATTTAAATGAGTTACAGCATTTACTAACAGAAAAAGTAACCACTAAGCTCTAAGGGTGCGTTTGTGCCCCGAATCATCTTGGACTGGACTAGCTTTAGGAGCTAAGCTAGACTAGCTTTAGGAGCTAAGCTAGACTAGCTTGGCTTGGACTAAGTAGGATAAGTTAGTGAAGTGTTTCAGTGCCAGACTAGGCTATAGACTGAATATTTTGGGGCCCAAATTAATTTTTTTTATCATTTTCAATTCACACTTGTTGCTTTAAAAATGAAAATCTAAAAACTTAAAAACTAAATAAATAAAGAACCTCACATCCAGTACAACACCACCATCTCTATCCTCTCTCCTCCAAAATTGGCAAAACCCGGATGGGAATTTGACAATTTGTTCTGAAATAGTTGATCATCGTCCTCAATCTTCATATGGGAATTGCTTTTTCGGCCATCCCACCAACCCACTCACCCATCAGAAATAGGACAAAGTTGTCAAGCTACCAGGGGAGAGCTTCAACAAGAGCTTTGAATTTTTTTATTGGAATTTCTTGACGGCGTCCAATGATGAAAAGGGGTGGGGAGTGACTAATCCTGATGGAATTTTTGTCCGATTTCTTGACATATTCGTCATGAACATTTTTATCGGAATTTTTGGTGCTGCAGTGTCTCAATCAGGGTGGGGCAGGGAATGATGCCGTGGAACTGACGAACATACGACGCGGTGAAATTGCAGACAGGGAAGGGATATGGGTTTTGGTAGTCCAAGCTAATTCTCCACTTCCACACGGGACTGTGCAAGACCAGTTAAGGAGGTCTGGAGTCGGAGCGATCCCAAGCTAAGCTCATTAATTGTTAATCCTTACCTCACCAAATATGGGACGGTAGTTCTACCTAAGCTAGTCCTAGTTAAGAAGGTGCAACAAACGCACCCTAAAAGTTTTAAAATGATGCAGAACTTAATATTGTAGCTCAATGACTTATTAAAAAGCAAAACTTAGCATGCCAGAAAAAAGAAATACAGTCAAAGGGCACCTATTAATCTTGACTCTAACCACTTCTGCTCAGCCATGCCTATCAGGAAGTTCCGAAAATGCCTACCTTAGCTAGTTGATCATGATTTCTTTCTTTTAGTATTCTGTAAGTGCAGTGAACACCACTTTCTCGTGATAAAATTTCTATCACACCTATGCCAGCATATCTTAACCAACTGTTCCATGTTCAGGCTCATAACAAAGAACAACCAATGTACTATATAAAAGCACAAATTAACAATATACACACAGCAATGCCACAAACAGTCATACATCTTGCCATTTCATTCGAGAACAAGTGCTGGGTGTCGGGCGTAGTCCTGTGCAGAAACTCAACATAGTCAGCTGAATGGAATTGCGCAAGCTCCACCGGATACGCCTTATGCGGCCGCTGGGAAACACCAGAATAAACAACACAAAGATTAATGCTTGAAGTCGACACTTGCAAACCCAATGACACAAAAAATTGAACAAACTTACAAGTATTGGATACTTACATAAATTTCCATATTTTTGTGGAGATCGTAGGATAGGACGAGATGATGGGTCATACATAGCCGGTGCGGTTTCATGGGGTGGTTCGGCCCAAAGTAGACTGATCAGATCATATTTATATATATTTTTACTTCAAATTCACTCGTCTTTTCTTGGTTAGTTCCTTATATTTTTGTGTTTATAGGATCTGTTATGCAAAGAAAATAAAAATAGCACAAATGAGTTTTAAATAATAAACAGAAAAGTGGAACACGAGTGGACCACTAGAAAAATAATGGAGCGCATAAAAAATATAGAGGGAGTTGGTGGAGGCGGCTTGAAAAGCAGCAAAGCAGCTGTGAGTGGGATGGCAATATTCTAATGGACGGAGGAGAAGAATAGCTGCTTTTGGCAGCTCAGAAGAAAAAAAATAAAAGCTGCCTTGCAGCTAATAGAAAAGGGGAGAATAAAAGCTGCCTTTGGAGGAGGACAAGCAGGACGGTGCAGACAAAGAAAAAACAAAAAAATACAGAGAGAAGGCGCGGGGGAAGTGAACGCAGGGGGAAAGTCAGTAGCACAGCAATCCAAAGGAGGAGGCACGGCAGAGAGAAGGGAGAAGAGGCTTCACTCCATTTTTCTTGGTTTTATCTTCTCGAACCCATGTTTAACTTTTGGTTTAATTTGAGAATAATGTGGAACTAATTTTTAGTAGTTAGGGGCTGTTTTGAAGCCCCGAATATGATTGTAAGTTTGTTGTGATATTTTGTTTGAATGACTTTTATGAAATGATGAAAATTGTTTCACTACTTATGTCATTGATAAATTCTTTATGTGTTTCTATGGATGCATACATAGTGAGCATATTTAGGATTTTAATGCTATGAATATATGTCTGCCTGCCTTTGTTGAATGAGGACCTACATATGTTCCAGAGTAGCACTTGTTAATTGTGGTTAACATGTGAACCGATTTCTAGGATAAGTAAGACAACGCCAGTACTTACGATGCCTTGTGATGACTCAAACTCTTTTCATTCTTAATGATTTCTACTTGTTAAATCTATGAACACGCCATTCTAGATTGCATGCTAGGGACTAAGTTAAGTTGAAAACACCATTCTCTTAACATACTACGTAAGAAATAGTAATAGGTTGTGTTCTAACATTGAGCCAACTTGAGCATCTTCATCCGGAAATAAAAGGGATTTGAATGAAACATAACATACTTGCATGATTATTTGGTGGTGGAAAGCATGTCCCCTAACTCATTTTCTTAACTTGTGAATTAAAATCTATTGGTATTATTTAAAATCGGTTTCTGTAATGTTTTTGTACGATTTAATTTAAATAGCAAATCAACTCCAAAAATCCCAAAACTTTGTGTGAGCATAGCTTGGTGTGTCTAGTTTATGTGTATAAAATTTCGTTGCATTTGGATAAGTATAAGTTAGTCTAATAATTATTGTTTGGTGGCTGGTCAGTGGAGACAGCCACCCGTTTTTGTGACATTTTAAGTATTTGGATAAAACAATCTTCTGCGGGAAAGACCCTTAATTTCATATGCTACAATTGACAAATCTTAGTGTTAATAAGGAAAATTAATAGGATTATTGTGTGCTACTTTGTGGTGCGTTATAATTCCTACCAAATTTTTGGCGCCGTGTCGCCGGGGATTGTTATTTCTGATTGCTTATATTTTATTTTTATTTTTTTATTTTTACTTTTATTTTTATTTTATTATTTTCTATTTCTTGTCTATCTAGTGTTTTTGGTTTTGGGTTTATTTCAGTTACTTTTTGTAGTATATGCAGCGCGAAGGTCCAAGAGCATTGATATAGCTCCCTACAATCCTGAGCATGAACAAATACTTCGAAAGGTACTAGAGAAGTAAGACATGGATTTTGCTAGCATTCAAGCTCAATTGGAAAATCTTACTTCTCAATTGTCACAATATGCCGAAAGGACCACAATGCAAAGTGCCCCTACATTTGATGTGCCCTATGGGCAAGGTTATCAAAGTCAATTTTCTGCAAATGAAGATGTTTGGGGATATCAAGGCTGTAACCAATCAAGGGGCAACATGTTTTCCAACGCTTGCAATTCAGATTGGAGGGGTAATTCAGATTATATGTGGGATGAACCTCAACAATTTCAACAAGGTGGATATTGGCAGCAAGACGAGTTCTATTCAAGACCTATGCAGCCACCACAGCATCCCCCACAACAATTCCAATCAAATCAAAGTATGCCCGTGAATTATAATGAAATTCTTGAAGGACTAATTTCTTTGACGCAGGGTTCACAAAAAGAAGAACAATTGCCGCCATCGGAAGAGTTCTATCAGTGGCCATATGAACCATCACAGCCACCACAACAATCAACCCAATTCAATTCAGGTACGTCCTTGGATAATGATACACTTAATAAGATAATCACCTCTTTGAATCAGGGAGTAGAAAATCAAAACCAGGAGACGCAAGACCGAGTCAAAAGAGTGGACGAATTGGATATGCAAGTTGGGCAGATTGTGGAATTCATGGCACAGATTCAAGATCAAAGTGAACTTTCCAACTCAAACATTGCAAATTCAAAGGCAGAAGTTGAAATCGATGAAGCCATCACTTTGGAAGGTGACATGAAGGATGAAGCTATCCCAGAACCATCCAAACACAGCCCGAACATGGATGAATTGCTGCTGCAAGCAGAAGAGGAGGAGGACGACCTGGGCAGTTTAGAAGAATTCTTGCTGCAAGCTCCTCAAATCCCTATGTCATCCAACTCAGGTGAGGAAGTTCTAAATTCACTTCATTCTAACATTATTCCACCGAATGTCCTTTGTCCTTGCAGGTTTTTGATTCCAAATATCAAAGAGAGTGAAAAAGACATTGTGGAAGCTCTTCCAAAGGTGCAAAGTGATATCCCAATTCTTGGTGCACCAAAACAAGTTCCCGATGGTATTGAAACGTTCAAAGAACCTTGCACACCAAGAAAAGGGATTCAAGAGAATGAAGTGGTTGAAGCATATCAAGAATACATCCAAGAGGCTGTGCATGAGACAATCAAGCCCAAAGCAGTTGAGTTTGATGACACGGGACAAGCCACAACCATCATAGTAAACCTGGCCAAGTTCAAAGTCTCAGAAATGTTCAAAGATGTGGTGTTTGTCATTGAGTTTGTGTCGGAAAAAGAAAGTAAGCCATCTTCTCCAATTTTAATTTTAATTTATACTAACATGTTTCTGATTTTGATGATTCAGGCACCCACTCTTGAATTTAAACCATTGCCGAATCATTTCAAGTATCACCTCCCATTAAAAGATAAATTCCATGCTTTGGAGCCAAGGGGAATTTAAAGGAAAGATTCGTCCGGCTAAAGACGTTAAATCAAGCGCTTCTTGGGAGGCAACCCAAGCATTCAACGAAGGGAGACTTTGGAATCGCTAACCAAATCAGATTTGAATTCTTACACCCTTATCTTTACTACTTTCATTTTGTTTTGTTTAGTTAGTTGTGTTATTTGGTTGATTTCTGTGAGTTTGTGTTATTTAGTTTAAGTGTGGAGGAAGGTTAAACAAAGTCTTTTTACATTGATTTACATATTTTACATTGATTTTTTTTTTTTTTAAAAAACACACCTAAAAAATAAATAAACATAAAAGTAAAAATATTTTACAATGATGTGTAAACTAATAGCATTCATTGGTCAAGCGGAGCTTCAGCAGTCGGCGGGGCCACAGAAGGAGGAGGCAACAGAGGTTGATTCTTTGGAGCTTCAACAGTCGGCGCAGCCCCAGAAGACGAAGGCAAATGCTGTTGGATGATGCGTAAAATAACTAACACACAAATTAAACCCTCTTTTTATCAATTGTAGTAAAGTATGTAAGTAGGGATCGTTCTAGGCCGGGGATTAGGAGGGATTGCTAATCTATTCTAAATTAATTTAAAAATATTAAACAAGACTCAAGGACACAAAACTAGGCTAAAAACTCTAATAACTCGAAACACACTTAGAATGACTCAAAATAATGAAAACAATCAAATTAGACACTAGGAATTGAAATGGACGGAAATTGAATTAAAAGACTAACAACAATGAAAACTAACTAAATAATATAATTTAATAATGGGGGGGGGTTTGGTTTTGACGAGAAGTAAATTAAACTTAAATAAATTACAGAATAGACAAAAGCATGAAATTAAGGTGAAAGGATAGGTGACGGACTAGCTAGAGGGTTCTTCTCCACACATGACACATATGCAACCTAAATTGATTTTCAGTTGTTCTTTCAATAAATTGTAAATCTCAACGCCCCAAATTAACTGGGAATTGCACTAATTAACCCTCAGTTTTTCCACAAGTTATTGGGTTGGATGATTGCATACGACAACCCAAAACATTCCCTACAAGTTCCCTACATGAATTGCATAATAGAGATACAAGCAAGAATCATTAAGTTGGTTGATCGGATCATATTTATATATATTTTTACTTCGAATTCACTCGTCTTTTCTTAGTTAGTTCCTTATATTTTTGAGCTATTTACGTTATTTTTGTGTTTATAGGATTTGTTATGCAAAGAAAATAAAAATAGAACAAGTGAAATTTTATGTAATAAATTCGTCAAAACTGCCTGTGTAGATCAGCTGACTTTGGGAGTAAGTTGCGAGCAGTTCAGAATGAATTAGAGAATGAGCCTTATATGCTTGGAAAGCTACAGATGTCTATTTTCTAGAACACTTCGCGGATTGTTAATATTATTTTTCTAGAAGAAGTTATGGGCATTTGAGTAAGGGAAGGTCTAGCTGACGACAACTTGCAGATTGGAATTGAAAAGCAGACAAAGATGACAAGCATAAAGCATAAAATCATGATGAATAATCATGATGAATGATTAAGGCTGCCCTTTGGTTTTGTCTGAAAGGCAACAAATACAGCAAAGCACAAGTTGGCAATGGAAGAAAAGTCAAATAAAGAAATAAATAAAAACAGCAAGTAGATGGGGGCATGGGGGGTTTAAGGACACAGAAGCGCAGAAAAAAAAGAGAGCAGAAAATTTAGTGAGAGAGACTGACGAAAAGGCAGAAAATTTAGTGAGAGAGACTGACGAGGAGCAGAAA